GGAAGGGTCCTGCTTCAGCTCCTGCAGGAGCTTTCACAGTATTTGCAAAGCAGCGTAAGACCTGGCACAGAAAACAGTTGTATCTCAGTGCTTTCAAAACGCCATCTTGCTTTAAAAAGCTCACAGATTTCTTCATGTACCTCAGTGCGAGATCCTTCCAGCTCATTAGATATGGAACAACCACAGCTCCTTTCCATGGAAAAATTTTTTGGCTCGCTGCTGAAAAGGATGAGCACATCTTGTGGGCCACTTCAGAGCAGCAACAGACCTCAGAGTGAGAAACCACCCTTATGACTCAAGGGAGAATTTCTATATTAAATCCATGTTGCTTGATTAAGACCTAGTCCACCTCACACACCAGTTGCTAAAGCGCTGATTTCTGCTGGTGATTAACCCATTCCCAGTACTGGGTACACCATGTGCTGCCTCCCAGGGCTGCTGGGGAGGCTGGTTACACCAACTGCAGAATATCTGTGCAAACCATCCCAACCCACACCCTCGCTGGCAGAATCCATCATCTCTTGGCTGGAAATGGGAATCGGCAGCCAGGCAATGGTTTTGGGCTCAACACGTTGTCTTCGCTGTGGATGCAGCAAGACTAAGAGTCTCTGCAATATCGCCCTACCAAGGGTGGCCATCCCACGCCCTGACCCACTGCCCATCTCGTGCCATGCAACACCTTGCATCGGGTACAGGCTCCAAAAAACCTCCTTGTGCCTGAGCAAACCCTGCCACAGAACGACGGTTCAGATCTGGCCCAGTTCCCACTAGGAAAAATAGCTGCTCTCCTTGGAGTTGAGACCTGCTGGTCAGGTTTAGCCAAATATTTCTTAGTAGCATTACAGAGACGGATCTTGAAAAAAAATCTGCAAAAGCTCGTTTTCAGTAATATTCTGCCTAGGGATCAGTACTAGTGCATCTACTGAGATGGGACTTGAATTTCATTTTTGAAACCTCAGAAAGCCCAGAGTTTCAGGTGAAATCCTGTTTTCAACTTATTTCAGAAAGGAAACGAAACAGGACACCTAAGAAAAAGCTCGATGCTGAGGACATCCGTCACCCAGACCTAGTTTAGCATTTTCTGCTGTTCCCCGTAACAAGGTGAAGGCACCTGTGCAAAGGTCCTCACCCTCCTCCCCCGTGTCAAAGGAGTAATTTTGATCTTATTACATGAGATCATGTAGATTAGTCAGTATTAGCAAAATGCTCTGAAGATGAGCACTACTGATTACATAAGGACTAATTAGAACCTGTTGATTTCTCCTTCTCAGGAGGCTACAGCCCAGCAGTGCTCATTAGCAGGGTGAGCTCAGCAAGCCCAGGTGCATCGTCACTGCCCGCACCGCGGCCTCCGACATCTGCACCGAGCAGCGGCACAAATTCTTTGGCAACAGAGGCGTAAAATTACAAGTATCTTTTGAAGAAGGTGAGACCACAAAAATACATGACAGAGGTTACCCGTCTCATTTCAGGCTGCTGCCCATCTTGCACTTCGATGGAAACTTGCTGCCAGCTGGGATAGACCCAGCTGGACGTTTTTACTCACCTGTGCCAGAAACAAAGGTAACTGCAAAAGTTGCCCTTGATTGATTCCAGGGTGCAAGTCTGGACACTGAAACTTCTCGGTTCAAGGAAAACAGAAAATGGAAAGACTGAAGTCATACCCATCGCCTCCAACGCCGCAAGAACTCCCTCAGAAAAGCCCAATTTCAGTCCGTGTTTCTCTGCCCCTGCTTGAGAAACAACGTAAAGCTGCCTGGACCAGATGCTCCAGTACAGCTACTGCAGGCACAAGGGAGCAGTGAACCATTTCTTCAGTTTTTCTTCTGCTCCAGTGTGCATTCACCAGCCCTTTACAGAAGCTGGGAAGAAGCGTTAGGCAGAAGACTCCACAGACCCAAAGCAGAATATCTCCAAGCCTTGCCTGCTGTGGAGTTAATCAGGCAGGGATAAATCTTGCTATGCATAGAAACAAGAATAATAGGAAAAAGAAGGATCATGTATCCACTTTCTGCCTGCAGTCCGTCCTCTACTTGCTGAACTGCATCAGCCCCACAACTTTTCTTCATCATTTCCATCGAGGCAGGCTGACAGCTCGGTCTCCAGGGCTCAGAATACTGGGAGGTTTCCTGGTATTCACGCAGCAAAGCGAGGAGTTGAACAGAAGCATAAGCAAGGCAGGAGTCATTTCCAGAACAGCACGTTTTAAATCCACACAAGTCAATGGAAACTTAACTTGATTTCTGGTAGTTAAATTTTGCTCATTTCCTCAAAAGGAAAAGCATCTTTGCACTTTCACCTTTGCCAGTGATCTCCCCCTAAGAATAAGGCCGGGCCCTGTTAAGTGTGTATCAAGTTTTTTCTAGCCTGGGCCACAGAACTCACTTCCTTGGTGACTTACCCTGAAATTCATGCACCATTTATCACAGCCCTCCAGAAGCCTCTGAAGGATCAGGGCAGCTACCATACAAGGCTGCATAAATTAATCGACTCCAGGTAAGGAGCAGTTTGCTAGATACTGATCTCTTCTTTCTGTCCATAACACTGGGATCGCCCACCATCCCATTTTGGGGCTCTTACGGTGAAGAACCTAAGCCGTGACAGCCCCTAAGGCAGCACAAAGGAGCATGAGGCTGCTCCAGCCTCTATTAGACTCCAAATGCTAGAATGTTCCATCTTGAGAAGCCAGCTGAAATCTCTGTACAGCAAAGGACAAGTAGCCCTCTGACTAGTGATCACACTCGACTACGCTTTTCATCACAGGTGCAAGACTATTGCACGTGGCTGGTCTTTAGCTCTTAGTAGCAGAGAAAGGCTCGGATGAGGGGAACAGTTTACATTTCTTCATGGAGGAGCCAACAACAGGAGAAAGAAAACAACATACACTGACTAATTCAATTCTTCACCTATTATTAACTGCAAGAGCTGTTACACGCTTCTCAGCGCCAAGTACATCAAGTCTTGGAAGTTCCCGTTGCAAGCCACCCAGCGAACCTGCAGTTGCCCTCAAGCCCTGCCGAAAAGCCTCACCCCTGGAAGGCAGAGCCTTCACTATCCCAGGACTATCAAGCTACACATTTCCTTATCCATCCTCTTTAAAGCTTCAGCAGCTGGCACAGCTCAAGCACCAATGCACCAGTTACTTCAGGCTTTAGATTGATCACCAGTACACAAAGAATCATAGAATGGTCTGGGTTGGAAGGGACCGTAAAGATCATCCAGTTCCCCCCCCCTGCCATGGCAGGGACACCTCCCACTAGCCCAGGTTGCCCAAAGCCTCATCCAGCCTCGCCTTGAACACTTCCAGGGATGAGGCATCCACAGCTTCTCTGAGCACCCTGTGCCAGTGCTTCATAGCCCTCTCACAGAGTATGCGGCAACTATTTAACAATAAAAAAAAGAGTAGATGTGGTCATTGATGTTTCTGATATTCCAGAACTTCTCCCATGTGACACAGGCCGCATGACATTGTGCCCATAACAAAAAAAAAAAAAAAAAAAACAAAACAAAAAAAAGCCAGACTGGTCATGCAACAAGTCATCTATCACCTCCATGATCAGGCAATGAAGGATACTATCAAACAGATGCATTTTGCCCCTGTGTCCCACAGAACATCTTCTGAATCCTCGGCAACTTCGCAATCAGCCAAAACTACCCTCATTCCAGCGCTGCAGCTTCTTGTGAAGGAAAACTTCTGCTCAGCAAACAGCCTGGTTCTGAAATCAAAGCACGTGCTGGTTTCCCCAAACGAGCACTCCCACTTTGCTGAACCCCAGCGATCTATCGTGTCTGACAATCATCCAGCTACAGAACCTGCATTTGGCACAGGGTCTGAAAATCCAGGTAACAGAAATGAAGTTTCAGAAACTTTGGGAAACACCTTGAATGGAGGAAAAAAGGCAATTTTTTTTTTTTTGCTAGGAAGCTGGTTAATCTTATGGTGACCAAGGAAAGTAAGTTTTTCTACATATGCTGTTAACTGAGGGGTTTAGACTATTTTGTGTACAGTATGAGGGAACCAGTGTACACAAAACAAAGAGATGAGACATGCTGAATTTAGATCTTTTAGCACCGACCAGCAGAATTCAAAAGCTAATTCTGCCTGCAAAAAACATTGCAAGTTTCCCTTCCATTTTACTCTTGCCGGAAATTAAATTTTCAAATGAACACAAAAATGCAAGAGGAACACTTCATTTAATTAACTGCTCCCCAAATAAGCCTCGTTTGTTTTCATTGTTGTTTTCGGTTTTATTTTTAGCTACAAAGTAGGTCAACTGCACAGTTGGGTTTGTTTTTTTTTAAAATATCTAGTTGAAGTATTTTGTTTCCAGACCGAAGAGATTAGGGCTTGTTAAGCCTCTAGTCCAAAAGCCAAGTGAAAACTCCTGGTTCAGGGAAGCTGCCCAGAGCCGTGCCGGCACCCTGACGCTGCGAGCAGCCGAGGGCCAGCAGACCACTCACCTCTCTCTACTGGTGCTACGGAGATACAAAAGTAGCGAAACGCATGACAAACAGCCCACATCAATTTGTTCAGGACATGCAATTTATTTTAAATTATATTTTTGCTTTCTTAGCAAGTCTATGCTTGTGACCTGAATCAAATCTGCTCCACTTCGACAGCGTTCCTCGTTACAACTCCACGTGAACAGTCTGGGTACAGCGGCCCGTTACTCGGGACAGATTCACACACCCTTTACTCCACGATTCTTAAGTTACAGAGCAAAAATAGCGGGCGGGATGTCTGACTGAAAACCCAAGCTTTCCCTTCTAGATCACAGGTGTCACTTGTTTCTCCTTCCCACGAACAGGCACAAAGCACAGCTGAGCTGCTCGGCGAGCCTGGAGCTCCGGGAGCAAAATGGTCGAGATCACTCAGAAACAACTTCCCAAGCGCAACAGTCAAAGAAGCCACAGGTCTCACACCTCCTCTTAAGGTCACCAGGTGAAGAAAAAGAGAGTTTATACGGAATAATCAATCCTCCAAAAATATAAACAGAGCGTTTAAGGTTTGCAGCTATTTTATTTACAAGTATACATTTAACACAAAGAAACACTGATATCCAAGCCTAGTTAATAGTAGTGTAACAATATGCATCATTTTGATGATTATTCTAACCAACAAACTACACTGAAAAAATTAATGCCAGTAAAATTCTTGGTCATAATATTAAGAAATACAATATATAAATTGAAAATATGATTGCTTAAAATTTGAAAATGGAAGTGAAGCCATTTGCACAGGAGTCAGAGTTTAACATAATCTGAAGGGAAAGGCTCCAAACCAACTGTTTATCTTTCAGGTTAACAGAAGAAAAAAAAATAAAAATAAAAATAAAAAAAAAAGAAGCATAGTTTATCCTTAAAGGTAATGGGCAGTTTTGCTTCTTCAGGTAGAATGTATTCCCAGTGTTTTCAGGTTTTGCAGTGGAATTACATTACTGAGCATGAAGACTTCCCTTGTGAAGCTGCCCCATCGATTTTTTCTGCCTCCAATATTATCCTCTTAAAAACATCAACGGCAGTCTGCAAAGAGAGAGTACAGCGTTAGCATGCAGGGAAAAACTGCTCACTTACCACAAAATCACAGCAACACATGTGAGCAGTTTCACTGGCTTCACCAACAGATAAATGCAAGCCTAACACTTACTTCAAAATCAAAGAGGGAAAATACAGTCTTATCAGTTTTGAACACAACCTTCTGGAAGAAAAGTGCCAGCCCCTCTCCACAGCAATCCTCAATTATTTTCTCTGTCATGGCAGGGAGGGCGAGTTTAAGCTGAACCTTATTCACAACAGTACTAATAACTGTAATTCAGCTTTATTTTAAACACTAAGCTTGCACTGAGTGACTGACAGCATTGAAGATTTTGATGTTGTGCTGCTCTGAGGAATCAACCAAATAATTTCCTACGTAATCTTAAGATTCCAAGTAGTTAAAGAAGACAGAAGATTTTTCAGCTCTTAACAGTGACTCTGTACAACTCACTATGAGGGTTTCTTTAATATTCTTGATTTTCTCATGCTACCTGTACGTTAAGAGCAGTATCAGATGGTGCAAGAGCACATGGGGAAATCATGAGCCAAATTAGCCAGTGTCTGATATTAAGCAGTATCCTCCGATAAAGTCCTTCCAAGAGAAAGGGGTTTTATATTTTAAACGACTTGAACCACAGGACAGTCATCGCTACCAGCCAGGCTCCCACAAAGATCCTAGTTTACGGTACAGAGCAGACAGGATTGTACCGAGCCCCTCCACAAAATCATGCTGCAGATCCCCTCGCTCGGGCAGAGGGAAGGCAGCAAGCACTCTTGGAGTGGGAGTTGCTTCTATCAACTCTGCACGGTCTCCTCATTCCACACGGCGCATAAAGCAGTCTGGTGAAAAGGCTCTTCCTCCCACTGAAGCTCCAGAAGAAACGGAGAACACGGGCTGGGAAGGGCGGTACTTCCCCAGACACAGGCGTGCTATTGAGCACAGGTTAAAAATCTTGGGGTGGAAACACAATTTGGTTATCTGAAGCAGAGACATTAAAGATCTCGAACCACTTGAGTGATGCAGGAGATTTTACGGTGGAATTCTAGTTTTTCTGGGGTGTTTTGTTTGTTTGTTTTTAAGGATACTGAAAGATGGGGAGGGTAAGGTGCTTGGGACAACTTCACGAATGCTACTTGTAGTAAATACCTTACACTGTTATGATGTTATTTTCAGGATTCACTGAGTTTCAAGAGTTTCAAAATTGTACACTAGCCTCCTTCAGAATATACAGAAACACCAGCTACAACATGCAGCAGGGATTGCCTAGAAGTAATTTAAGAAGAATAAATCCATACTACGGTCAAAGACAACTCTAAAGTACTTCTCTATGATATTTTTGAGCTGCAGATTCACTGTACGATCAGGACTTCAGCACGTGAATCTTCAGTTTGGAAACAGTCTCCTGATCACCTCAGACAACTTTAACCTCCAGCCACCTGTTTCATAAATTCCAAGCATGCATGTGCTCCTTCAGAAGAAAAGTATATTCCTTATATAAAAGCAGCCATACTACGAAAGAGGATAAAAAGGGGGTTTTGTTGGTTTTAATCATCAGGCTGAAGAGCACTCTGTAATTTGCAACTATGTGTTTGGAACTGACAGATGTTTTTCTGCCACCAAAAGGTATAATTCTTAATTGGATCACTTCCAAATTAATCCCATTGACATGAAGTAGCCCTGAAATAATCTTAACAAGATGAGATTGAAGTTTAGTTTCCCATATTTATACAGTTTACACACAGTACTATCTCTGGAACTACTAAAAATACTTCATCAGTTGGATGTAAGATTATTCCTCCATGTAATGGAGTTTCCCTGCAATCTCAACAACATCTGACAGCAGAGCAGTAACAACACAACGTATTTCCTGGGCAATTAGACTCTAAAAGAACCGTGGTCAAGACTGCAGTTGCTATCAAACTAGTTTCACTAATTAAGAGTTTGCCTTAATCAAAATTTGGTGATATACCAACTTACAAATATACTGTACCAATGTTTCCTTACTTAAGAGCTGAAATTTTCAATGGTTTCATTTTCATGCACAAGTTTTTTATATCCCTGCTTCAAAGCACCCATTAAAAAGCCTCCACAACTTACTCTGTCAACCAAGAAGCTGTACATTCCCTGTCAAAGACCTGCTGTTCCAAGCACTAAGATGTAGGAGTTCACAGGGCTTGTTAATTAATTTTACAGAATGTATGTATTCACCGAGAAGGTTTAATCACTGTCCTACAGTTACCAACTAGGAATTTGTAATTCAGCCCAAATATGCTGAATTTCAGAATGAGCTTTTAAGCAACACAGGAAGCTGTGTTTTGTGACAAAGAATAAAGAACGCGGCCAGACTTTATGTGCATCTGTCTCCGTACGGCGCAGTTACAGGATGTGGGGCACACGTAGCCTCCAGAAAGCCATCTGCCTTGCTTCTACTCTTCTCCCCCGAGGCAGCAGAACAGATACGAGCCCAGGCAACACGTGCTGCCGAGGGAGCTCAGCACCGCGTGAGAGACACCAGGGGCTCAACCGCTGCTGCAGATGTGTCCCTTGGTGTGAGCAGCACGGGCAGCTCGGGAGGTGCAACTGCCTCTGCCCAAGCAGGGAATCGGGAACGCGCTGCCGGGAAGGTGCAAACACCCAAATTCAGCCCACAGCCGCTCGAGTCATCCCCCAGAACACCGTATTTTTCAACTAGGCAACTGTTTTATTATTTCAGAAACTCTCAACTGCTCCTACAATTAGTTTATTTTGGCACGGAACCAGGCCAAAGAACACCAGTCAGGAAAAGGAAGAGAAGTTTTCCTCCCTCTCCTTTATCAATTCAAACACACTCTCCCAGGTAAACATGTCAGATCCCTGGAGAGGGGCTAAGATATCAAACCACGCTGAAGCATTTGCTGAGCACTACATCTTCCGAGCTCAAAGACAATGGTGCTCTTGAAAAAGAAGCAATATCCAAGCAATTGCTTTTTAAGAAAGCTCCATTTTGTCAAGTAGATCTTTTTGCTACCTCCTTGCCCTTTCTAAAACAAGTTTATCTCATTAATTGTGCGTAACTGGATGAACCCAATTTGGCCACTTGTTACTCCCTAACTTCTTCCAGTAAAAGTTAGTTCCATGCTTCAACTGGGTTTACGATCAATTTGGATGCTGGTTGTGTTTCAAACAGTTCCCTCTTTATTGCACTAGGACTATACTATGGCTTAGGTGAAACAAAGCAGGAAATTCTACAAGAAAGAGTCAAAGCTCCTGAAGTCAGCCAAAGCAGTTTAACATAGCTGGTAATAATTATGCAGCCTGAGAAGATACGACAATGATAGCCCAGTGGTAACCTAAAAGAGGTCTTCTCCATTAAGTTTCATAACTGTCTTTTCAAAGCCCAGGGATATCCCTAGACGACTGATGTGCTGCTGAAACGCAGGTTCCTCCAAAAGTCCTACCAGGCTAAACAAGGTCACTCTTGTCTACAGGAGCCTCAAAGACATTTGAGGTGAGAGCTCTTGCCAGCCGTTACAATTTATCATCACTGTAGCTTTGATCTTTGCCTCTCTTGCTTTCCATTGAATCAAAGTCATGCCATTTCTGGAATGTGGTATTTTTTGATAACTCCTGGCAGAATAGGTCTAGTTTGCTGAAGGTACTCTAAAGAACTATTTTAGTTGCCCAACATATTGGGACTACACATCTAGAACTCTCAGAGATGCTCCAAAGAGGGTATTTTCTTTTGGCTGAAGCAGGAAGGTAGAACAGTCAATGCTCTCCTACACCCTTGCAGGGGGCACTGAGCCTTTGCTATCAGATTCTGTTGCAGGGAACATCTCTGGTTTCAGCAGTTCCTTGCAAACAGAGCTGCTACAAAGGACAGACCATATAGCCCATCGAGTTTGGCCTAACACCTGTAAGCCAGGAGACCTGCTCTCCTCGCTGCTGCAAAGAACATCACACACCAAGCCAACTTCAGACCAGCACACTAGAAATTGTCACACTTCTGCTCCACATCCACCAAACACAGATGGGGAGGTTTTAGAGAGAAAGGATTAAGAGTTTTCCCCAGTCAAGAAAGTCTGAGCTCTCTGCTGAAGTCTGTAAGCTCTAAATTTCCAGTCCAGTCCAGCTCATTCCTTTAAGCATCAAATTAGGTCTCTGTAAAGCAAAGAGAATCTGAAGCAGTTTTGGAAGCTTAAACTTAATCCTGACAGGTAGGTTACATCTGCAGTACTAAGTCAGTACAGGTGATGATTCAAACGAACCTCCAAGCAAAAAGTGCCAAGAGATCTTTTCCCAGTACAGTCAGCATATGCAAGGTGAACATGCAGTACCAGGAGAATGACAATGCACCTCACTACCAAGGTCAAAATAAACCCTTTTGCCCCCCAAACTAGAGACAGTTTAAGAGAAGACATCCTGTCTTGCTAGAGGTCTATATATCAGCTCTTTTGATCGGGTCAAATCAGGATTTGGAGGAGAAAACTTGTAGGAGGTCAGGAGGGCTCCTGGTCTAACTCGGGAAGGGACGCTACAATGCCTGGTGTCTCCTGCTCCCCCTGGGGCCTCACAGCTCTGGACTCCACACTTCGCGCTCAATCCATCACCTTTTCAGCATTGAGCATTTCTCCGCAACTGTTTGAGAAAAGTCTAAGGCAGCTGCTCCAGTTTTGGGCTTCCTCAGCGTTTTTTCCATACAACTCAAGGCTCCAAAGGAAGCAGCACGCCTGCGAGCTTGAACAACGGTCACATGCTGTGGGCACCCAACGCACAAGTGACATCCGATCTCCTAAACTGCTGAAGCTGCACAAATTTATCAAGTGTATTATGTAAGAGGCACAAAGGAGGAATTGCGTTCAAGCACCTGTTTCTATCAATCTGTGTCTAAATCCAGAATTTATAGCAACCTGTGATCATTATTTTGAAGGATCC